TTATCTTTATCTGTTTATACAACGTGTTTTATCAACTTGGGTACTGATAGAATAATTATAGAATTTTTTACAGCAATTTTAATTCTCAAAATAATTGTAGTCTGACAAAATCACTATTTCGTAAAAAGTGTAAGATGAGATAATATAATTTTAAGAAAGTGCACTGAAAAACGTCTATAGACTGTGACACATAATTCTTCGAAACAATGTTATCGCCAACAATATTTTCTCTTTTCTTCTATAAATTCGATGTCTTTACCCTCGTATACTTGTAATAGAGTAATAATGTCTGCCGAGAGTATACCTAATATAAAACTTGCAGTCATTGTCTGTAATGGAATATTTACGCGAGGTATAGTTGATAGAAATACTTGTGTGTGCAATTTTTATTGCAGAAGACATTATTTTCATTTTTACATCTTGAGTGAGAGGACAAAATTGTAATAAAGTAGGAAACGGAGAATTAACTCTTCAAATATTTATCAATAGATATGATATGAGATACGAGTAATCTTCGTAATATCTGGAAATATGTTTCTTTTCGTTATACAAAGTATTTTATTTATTATCGTTCGCGTCTGGCGTATCACCCAGTATTGATTTCTATTCGCACAACAATAATCAAGAAAAAAGAGTATCATACGGGGTATGTATAGTCATAAGGCTAGAGTCAGATAGGCTAAAATTAATAATCTTAATAATATTTAAATTTCCATGACACATTTTTCATATTTGCAATGATGTAATTAAATCTTTTCCATTTCGAATAGAAGTATGCATGTAATTTTTTACGATTTTTCCAGTATCATCCTGTGTATAAAATTTTTTATTATTTTTTATTATTGTAAGAAAACGTGATTTAAAAATAAATAATTTACAATTTATTATATTTTTAAATATATTCTTATATGAAATAAAGAAAACATTAAAAAAGATCATCAGTTCTTAACAAGTGCTAGAATATTTTTAGTCTTATCTTAATGCAACAATTTCTTGCACTTTTTTATATTCAACAATATTTATTAATAATATTGATTAATAATTATCGTATTCTAATATTGATGTTATTATTAAAGGATTTAACAAATTACGCATTAACGATTAATATTAGCAATATATATTTTACTTGCCGTAATACTTGTCTTCATACCGTTATTCTTTTATTTGTGCTAGCAAATTATAAGCAGAATACGACGTTTTGAGCACCTGCAGTAATTATTAATATATTCAATCTCTTTTAAAATTATTTAGGGAGATAATCCGTAGTGTTAAAATTTATATTTAGTACCATATTTTATAGTTATTAACTATGATAAATGTTACATATAAAATGTATGTTAATAGTGCCCAATATTTTTTTTGAAAAACTTATTACTAAAATTTCATCCAAAAGATAAAAGATAAAAATTTTATTTATTAGAGAAGTTTTATAGCATGCTATGTTTTATACTGACCGCTACAAAAGAGTCTAGGTTCATGTTAAGAATGTGTGCACTGATAAACTCAATAGGCCTCATCGCGCGATTCATAATTATCAAAAGGCTTTTTTTAGTTTTATTATCCAACGCTATCCATTCTATTTCGAATATATTATCGACCAATTGTAGGCTCTGTAAATTCATAAATATGCTAAATGTATTACTATCATCAGGTTCTCATAAAAGAACCCATAAAAGAACTCATAAAAGAGACATGCAATAATATAATTGTCATATTGTATATACATAGATATGTACATATATGAAATTTAAACATACATATATATATGTACATATTATTCGCATAATATAATTTGGATTATTATAAACATGCACACCATTAGTTTAAGTTTATTTCCAAACCAACAGTAAATGAAAATTTGTACAAGTACGCAAAACGTATATGCAAATATCCCAACGAAATATGTATTTAATGTAGTTCTACTTAGTTGGTACAAATTCGAGCACACTACGAATGTACTCGCTACGAATTGAATTGCAATTATTCTCGTGAATCTTGCATTAGTCGCGTATGCATATCTGTAAACCAAAATTGTTTTATAGTAAGCATTACAATTGTATTGGAAAAATTGAAAGACAAAAATAATTGTTACATGTCATTTAATATCTTAATAGTAAAAATAAAAAATAAAGAGATAATATCATTGATTCAAATACGACATAGAAGAGCAAAAATAGTATAAACAGAATAATATTATAAAATAATAAATTTTAAAATATATTTTATGTAAATAAGAGAGCTTTAAAATATATTGCCAAATATTTAGAATTAATTATTAAACATTCTAAAATTATAAATTTAACAAGATTTTCACAAGACTAACTCGATTATGTGATGATGTTGGCGTACACAGTCGCTCAGAGTATTCTGGCCATTTGTGACACCTTTCAGACGATACTGTAAGATCGTAATCTGACAGCATAGGTGCAGTAGCAGGCCAACAATGAGACTGTCACAAGCAACGTTAACAAAGGACCCAGATATCACGCCTATGTATTGATGAGCGTACGTGAAACAAAATATCACAAACGACGAGTAATCAAACGGTACCCATCCTCTAAATGATAACTGCCTTTTTTTAAAATTTGTTAGTAACGATAGCAAAACGTGGCCTGCGCAAGTGACCATAATCAAGATAGCATAACACATTGCGTAATTCCTATAAAAAATAAGGAAAGTAATTTTGTTCTTATCTTGCAAGACAAAAATTTCTTTTTGTAGAAAAATAGTATTTTCTATATGTAAAATTTATAAGAAATATACATAAAATAATACATAAAATACAAATAACTTGAACGTATACTGTATATGATATTCATAGAGTTCTCTTATTGTTAGTATAAGAACAAAATATATGAAAAAAAAAAATCTTTGGGAAAATATGCTCGAATGATTTATTTCTAAAAATATTTCGTATTTATAGAATTAATATTCTAATGTATATGTATATCTGCAAGACTTTACTATTATTGACAATTCTTACAAATCAGATAACACAGGATAAATCGGGTGAGATAGTCATAGAGGAGAGATGACCCACCCGTGTTCTTTCAATCTAGCTTGACGTCTAGTATCGAATAGGCCATCTTTCCTCTAAGGCCATCTCACCTGAATTTACTCTAAATAAAGATATAATTTCATACTTACTGTATCATCTTGTCGAATTTACGTCGAATTTCGATTTCGACAGATACTACTGGTTTAAACGTTCCTTCCGTAAGATTGTGAATTAATTCCACGAATCTCTCGTGGTTCACCCATAGATTAAGTATTTTATAGCACGCAGCGAACATGGTCACCATCGTGTATAAGATGTTAGTAAAATCGTCCGGATTGTTGACATTTAGTACAGCATCCATAAACTGCGTGAATGTAAAGCTGTACATTAGGCTAATTATTAATAATGTATACGCGTTATATAATGTGTGTTTGATCAGCGACGTCCACGAGAACGGTCGCCAGCATCCAGCGATTGCGAGAATGACGAGTGTAAATTTCAACGTTTTCATGTTCTTTAAATAATAAAATATTTTTTTCTCAGTAAAAACTTCTTTCCTATAAGAAATTTTCACAATTGCATTAACAATATATACAACAACATAACCAACTATATAATTTAATATGTTGTAATGTTTTAAGATGCTCTTCGTGTACTTCGTTTTGATATACGTTGCGTGATGATATTGTTATACATCAATCGCAAGTCAGCTGAGGAGAAAGGCTTTACAGCGTCTATAGTTCGTGCGACGCGACATTTGTTATTTTCCCCTCGAATAAGTAACATTGTTATTATAGCAAGCGTGGACTGATATTTTCAGCGAATTGAAATTTTCCCCGAGAATTCCAATCCTATATTTATATATTGCAATATAAGTGTGCGTAGACAAGAGTTCTGATGTATGAAATCTTGATACATGGTACTCATCCATTACAAAATATTTTATTCATTATTTTCACTGTCCGCGACTTCAGCTTTCCTCAGCCCCCCCAGGATTCTCTATGTTATTCTCGGTGCGTCTATATTGAGCAGCAGACCTATGCATTTTTTATAAACGCGGAAAGCGAAGTATCTTGAATTTATTCGTTTTCGCTGCGTGACACACATCACATCAAATAATGTTTGGATTGGGTGGAAATGATAATCGCAGTAATTTGTTCTTCCATAATCATTTCTGTAGGATTTTGAACTTTAAAATAGATAATAGTAATATACAAATAATATTTGGGAAAAATATTACATTATTATTTCTACTATAAGTTATTATTTTCTATACTTTCTTATAATAAACTATGAATTTTTTTAAAGTAGGTACCAATTTTAACTTGTCAATTATTTATACATTAAATAATATATTATATATAATTTAAATAATATTGCAAGTATTGATTTATTCGTCGATTAACTGGCATAAATGTACAAAATAGCACTACGTTTCGGCTCTTATTTCGAGCCCTTTTGAGTCTCGGAAGTGCTCGCATACAGTTAACATGTCGCGTCCGAGAATCTGCTGTGCGCTTGTAATTACCAAACACCTGCCAGTTATGGCCACGCAGGAACATGCTCGTGAACGCAGGAACGTTTATTAATTTGATGACACAGACCGCACTTGAAAAGGGCTCGAAATAAGAGCCGAAACGTAGTGCTATTTTGTACATTTATGCTAGTTAATTGAGGAATAAACCAATACTTGCTGTTTAATCACTGGCGGACAAAATTAATTTTTTAAGTAATATTATATATATATATATATATATATATATATATATATATATATATATA